TGAGGAAGGTGCTGGGGAAGCCTCCGTCCCCCTGGCCTCAGTAAGCCTGTGCCAGAGGAGAAGTGGGAGGTAGCCACTGAGAGGGTCTGGCAGGGACATGCTGGAGCAGCGTGTCACCTTCCAGAGTCTTCTGGGTGGGGCAGACGGATGCTGGCCTGAGTCCCCTCTCCCACAGCACTGCACCGCGCTGTCATGGTGGTCCTGCCCCTGAGCCTGGTGCTCCTGGTGTGCGGCTGGGTCTGCGGCCTGCTCAGCTCCCTGGCCCAGAGCGCCCCACTGCTGCTTTTCACAGGCTGCTACTTCCTGCTGGGGGGTGAGTCTGGGGCCCAGGGAGTCAGTGGGGAAGGTGGGACCTGGGTCCCAGGAGTGGGTGCCACCTTTCCTGCTGCCCATCCCTTGATTCTCTCGGGGCAACAGTGGGTGCCCTAGATGGCCCTGGGTCCTGATGGGGTCAGGGCTTCTACTTGTGGGGTGGGAGCCGGGGATCGGGAGTGGCACCAGGGTGTGGGGAGCGTCAGATCCTGCTCTGGTGGGTGAGATGGTGCTGGTGGTGTGGGGCCAGCCCCCACCACTCCCTTCCCATTCTCAGACTGTCCTAGGGAGGAGCAAGGCAGGCAGGGGGAGGAGGGCTGTCAGTAGTGAGGGTCCACCAGCTGACCCAGACTAGCACTGACCACGTGCTGGCACTGGGCTCCCAGGGCTCCTGGGTCCCACCTTATACCTCTCCTCCTTGGAGAGTTCCGAGGAGTGCCTGAAGCCAGGGGTCCCCTCACTGACTTTAGTGCTGTCTGCCCAACTGCCCAAGCTGATGGCCCCTATTGTCTTGGGCCAGGGCTAAGCTGGTGATGTCTCAGGCCAGCTCCACTATCAGCACCCTGACCATAGGACAAGACCACCAGGGATGGGAGGTCCTCCCAGGTGGCTTCCCTGGGAAGTACATCCCCACGGGATGCTGCAGGTCCTGGCCCAGGGAGACATCCTTCAGGGGCTCTGAAGCTGGCAGAGAGGAGCTGGGCCTGGGCTCCATCTCCAGGGAGAGTCGGGTGGGGGCTCAGGCAGAGAACCCACATGAGGGGTCACCCTTTGCCCCTGTTGGGCAGAAAGTCGTGTCCTCAGCCAGTCCAGATGGAAGCAATGGCGTTTGGAGGGGGCTCAGCTGGTGGGGCAGCTGGCAGGGGTGGGGTGCAGGGACTGGGGCTTCTGCCACCTGGGATCTCGGCTAGGGCATGACTGGCCAGCCAGAGCCCACTTCACCCAATTTGGCTTCACATCCTATTCCAAACTAAATCTGTAACTTCTGCTGCTGCTCGACCAGCTCAGGCTGGAAGCTCTGTGTGTCCCTCCTGCCATCTTCCCCCTCCCTCTCCCTTCCTTCTTTCTGTCTTTGGTCCTCCAGGAATCTCAGAGGACCAAGGTGAGAGTCCAGCACTGTGGGACTCCCAGGGCTATGCTGATTCTTTGGTCACCAGTGAGATCCAGATCTGGCTTTGAACATCAGCCCGGATCAGTCACCTGTCCTTGGCTGGGCAATCCCAGAGGGGACACTGTGCACCCAGGAGGTGCCTGTAGGAGCCTGAGGGTCACCTGCCCCCAGCTGCCATTTCCTACAGGTGGCACCAGGGACAGGATTTGCTGTTAGCCAGTAGCTGGGAAATAAGGGGCGTGCTCTGGGCTGATTCCCCTAGAGCACGGCAGATAGAGAAAGGCTGCAGAGGCCTATGGGCTGAGGGCAACATCCAGCTCTTTGCTGGACTCTGAACTGCCAGACATAAGGTCACCTGGCACTGTCACACTATGCAAAGCCAATCATCCTTCCTTGGAGACAGCATATGTATGTGTGTGTGCACATCAAAGTCACCTGGCACTGTCACACTATGCAAAGCCAATCATCCTTCCTTGGAGACAGCATATGTATGTGTGTGTGCACATCAAGTGCCGGGGGGCTATGGGGACACAGTGGAGGGGCACTCTGTGTGTGGGAACTGTGTGTGGGGGTACAAGTGATACTGTCTGCAGGGGCCTTGTGGGGTGAGTCCCTGAGGTTTGAAGTCTGAATTGGAGTTTCTAAAGCTCCATCCTCCCAAACTCCAGAGTCCACAGCCTTTGACGTCTCTCCCCACCTGGTCTCCAGAGGTACTAGGCAAGGGGCAGTCAGGGCTGACCAGACAGGGGCCCCTGAGGCCACATCTGCAGGGCCACCTGGTCCAGGTCCTACAGCAGCAGATACATGGAGCAGCCGTGTGCCCCTGTCCTGCAGGTGCCCTGACCCTGGCGGGGGTCAGTGTCTACATCAGCTACTCCTACCTGGCCTTCGCGGAGACCACCCGGCAGTACGGCCCACAGCACATGCAGAACATCCACATCAGCTTCGGCTGGTCCGTGGCCCTGGCCTGGGGCTCCTGTGCCTCGGAGGTGCTCAGCGGCGCCCTGCTGCTCACGGCCGCTTGGGCCCTCAACCAGGGCGGACAGTCAGACGCCTCCCACTCTGTGGTCATCTGAGTCCCCAGTGGGCTGGCAGGTGTGTGGTGGGGAGAGGGCTCAGCTTCCTTATGCATCTCTGGGGATCCCTGGACTTCTGGATGGGGGGAGTCTGGGGCGGCTGGGGTATCCTGGCCGTTGAGGGGCTCTAGGGACTAACTGGTTTAACCACTCCTCAGAGATGAGAAGAGAGTCCAGAAAGAGGACAAAAAGTGCTGAGGGGACATGAGCTGCATGGCAGTCAGGTGGGAGTGCCTCGGACTCTGGGTACTCAGCCTGTGTTCATGCCTGCATATGCGCTTCCCTGGAAAGTCCCTGGTGTCACTGCTGCCCCCATTCTGAGGGACCTGGGCAGTCCAGGAAGAGAAGAGGGTGCCATGCTGGGTGCTGAGGGCTCCCTGCTCTCCAGGCTCCCAACAGCCCTGTTCATTGGTTACCATTTACCCCATTTTACAGAGGGGGAGAGTAAGGCCCAGATCACACAAAGCCAGATGTCCTTGTGGCCAGGCTGTCCTTGTGCCTCCCGGCTGCTGTTCTGTCCACTCTCCTCAGAGGGTAGCTGCTGGTGGGGAGGAGGTGAGGAGAGGCTGGGGAGCCCCATAGTGGAGCTGAGTGGGCTAGATACGCTCACCCCCACCTGGAGGGTGATTTTTACTGTGCATGTCCAGGCACAGGCTACCAGTCCCTCTGGGCCTGGCCTTCCCAGCACCCTGAGTAATGTCCCCCATGGGCTGCCTGGTGGGACCCTGACCTGGCTGGTGTGGGAGTCTAGGGGTGGTGGGGTAGGGGAGGCCATGCCCTGGTGGAAGGGTGTGGGCCACTCCTCACCTGCCTCACCATTGGGTGAGGGCCAGGCAGGGAGAATGGGGACAGCCAGCCCAGACCTGAGCCATCCTGGGCCACAGAGGCTGGGGCACCTGTCTTTATGTTAGTGGCCAGTCAGGGCGGTACAGAAGTGTCCCCAGGGGGCTGTGAAGCATCTGTAGCCCCAGATGGCCCCATGTTAGGTGTGGGACCCATCCTGATCCTAGGACATGTGCTGGGAGAGGTGGCAGATTCTCTGGCCCGTTCTTCCTCCTGCAGCCTCTCTTGCCTCCCGTCATTTTTTCAAAGTGACAGGAAACTCTTGGCTCAGGGGGCTGCACTGTTTTGATGGGACCCACTGAGGGCAGGGTATGGGAGGTGAGTGGAGCCTGCCATTCCTCCTTGACTTTGAACATGGGGAACACTATGCCACTTTGTCCCCAAATAAATCAGCTTGTGTTATGTGAGGTGGAAGCTCTTTAGTTTTCTCTTAGAAGTTTTCCAGGCTCAGCGCCTGTGGCTCAAGTGGCTAAGGCGCCAGCCACATACACCTGAGGTGGCGGGTTCGAATCCAGCCGGGGCCCGCCAAAAAACAATGACGGCTGCAACCAAAAAAAAAAAAAAATAAGCCGGGCGTTGTGGTGGGTGCCTGTGGTCCCAGCTACTTGGGAGGCTTAGGCAGGAGACTCACTTGAGCCCAGGAGTTGCAGGAGTTGGAGGTTGCTGTGAGCTGTGATGCCATAGCACTCTACCCAGGGGGACAGCTTGAGGCTCTGTCTCAAAAAAAAAAGAAGTTTTCAAAATAGACACCCATGGTAGTGCAAGGTGGACAAACCCTGTTCCCAGCTGTGTGGCCACCACCCAGAGATGTCCTGTGCACATGGCGTATGTGTGCGTGTGTCCATCGGTGATACCTTTGTGGACACAAAGCTGCTTGCCATTCACAGGTCAACCCAGGGATGGGAGGCGTCCCAGGCCTCCAAGCTGTTTCCTAGGTTGGTTTAGAAGTCCTGGTCTCGCCCTCCCTCTCCCTCCTTATAGCCCTGCAGCGCTCTGGGGTGGGGGGTGTGTGTGTTTCCCCCAGGCCTCTCTGACTGCACGGGGGTGTGGGTGGTAGAAAGGGGTACCACTTGCCTCATTCCTTCTAGAACAACCTGCCTGCTCAGACCACCCTCACCCTCTGATTAGTCAGGCTCCATAGCAGTTGGCCCAAGGGTTCTGTCCTGTTTCATTGCTTGCTGGGTGGGCGGGCTGTGCAGTCAAGATTGAGAGGCAGATGTGTGGGGCACAGGGAGAGTGCCTGGTTCCAAGTCACTGACAGTAGAAGACATGACACCAGGCTTGAGGGGTGCCCTGTTATTTACAGCAAGAGGAGAGAGTGCCAGGGGAGTTGCTGTGGTCACCCCCATGGCTGGGTCGCTGCCCAGTGGGCCTGTTTCTTGCAGCCAGACGCAGGCCCTGCCTTCTTCCACCTCTTTAAGGCCCATGCTCTGAGGGTGGTCTTCCCCTACCCCACCTTTCTTCCTCCCTCCCTCTGACACATCATCTGCGCTATTCTGTGTCTGCAAACTATCCTCCATTCTATTGGTGCCCCCACCCAAGGGCCTGACCCTCATGAGGACAGGGCCACCCCCAGCCAGTCTCTAGGGCAGCCCCCAGTGACTTCATCCCCTGGAGCTCTCCCCTGTGTCATCCCCCCTGCCACATTGAGTCAGGGCTCACCTGCGTGTCAAGTAGGAAGTGAAGGAGAGTGACAAGGTCGTGAGAGTCATCGCAGCTCCTGCCTGGGCCTCCCCTGAGCTAGTCAACTAACCTGAGGAGATGCCTGCCCAGGCAGGTGCTGAGGCCTCTGCCAACAGCAGTGGCTCGCCAGTGGCATGAGCACCGCCAGGAAGTGGATTATTCATATAGTGCAGTCCCCGCTGATGTGGACGGCAACCTCAGGAGAGACTCCAATCAGAACCTCTAGCTGTAAGCCACTTTCCAACTCCTAACCCACAGAAACTATGAGAAATAATGATTATTGCTGTTTTAAGGCACTATGTTGGGGGATCATTTGTTATGCAGCTGTGGATAACCAATGCAACACACACTTGCTTGCCCTAGGCAGAGCAGTGTAGGAGACATGGACTTATAGGGGTTTAGAGCTGCTGGCTTTCTTTTCAGAGTTAGCAGCTCCTCAAGCACAGGAGAGCAATTCTAGGGCCTTGGGGAGCCCCATAAACTGGGTATCTCAGGATATGGATCTGGCTGGAAGGTAAGATGGAAGATCCTCTGCCTTACGGCTCCTTGGCCTGACACAAGGTCCCAGCTTTTCTCCCGTTGCACACACTCAACTGCAGGCCAAGATTACCACTAATGGTTATTCGTAGATGATAAAAACACAGGCAATTCTTTTATTCTTTTTTTTTTGAGACAGAGTCTCAAGCTGTTGCCCTGGGTAGAGTGCTGTGGTATCATAGCTCACAACAACCTCCAACTCTTGGACTCAAGCGATCCTCTTGCTTTAGTTCTTCTATTTTTAGTAGAGATAGGGTCTCACTTTTGCTCAGGCTGGTCTTGAACTTGTGAGCTCAAGCTATCCCCGACCTCGGCCTCCCAGAGTGCTAGTATTACAGGCGTGAGCCACCGCACCTGGCCTATTTTATTCTTTATTCTTTTTATATTAGGAAAAATTATCCATGTTTCCTCTCTTGTGTTCATGACCAGTCTCACCAGAGATTTATCAATTTTCTTACTCTTTTTCAAAGAGCTACCTTTTGGATGTGTTTATCTGTATTTTTTCCTGGCTTAACTTCTTCACTAATTCTTTCTTTACCTGTGTCTCATGTGTATTAAACCTATCCACTGAGTTACCCTATTCTTGAATTCTAAAATTTCCATGTGGTCTTGTGATTTCAAATTTTCGGCCAAACTTTTTTTGAGACACAGTCTCACTCTGTCACCCTGGGTACAGTGCCGTGGCAGAGTCAGAGCTCACAGCAACCTCAAACTCTTAGGCTCAAGTGAGCCTCCTGCCTCAGCTGGGACTACAGATGCCTACCACAATGCCCTATGTTTAATAAAGACAGGCTCTTGCTCTTGCTCAGGTTGGATTGGCCAAAATTTTTGATCTTGCTTTGTAATTCTTGCAATATTGTATTATTTTTAAATTTTTATTTATTTTCGACTCGATGCCTATAGCTCAACCGGCTAAGGCGCCAGCCACGTACACCTAAGGTGGCGGGTTCGAATTCCCAGCCCGGACCCGCCAAACAACAATGACGGCTGCAACCAAAAAATAGCCGGGCGTTGTGGCGGGCGCCTGTGGTCCCAGCTACTTGGGAGGCTGAGGCAGGAGACTCGCTTGAGACCAGGAGTTGGAGGTTGCTGTGAGCTGTAATGCCACTGGCACTCTACCCAGGGGGACAGCTTGAGGCTGTCTCAAAAAAAAAAAATTATTTATTTATTTATTTATTTTTGAGACAGAGTCTCACTATGTCGCCCTTAGTAGAGTGCCGTAGCATCACAGCTCACAGCAACCTCAAACCCTTGGGCTTCAGTGATTCTCTTGCCTCAGCCTCCCAAGTAGCTGGGACTACAGGCACCTACCACAACACCTGGCTGTTTTTTGGTTGTAGTTGTCATTGTTGTTTAGCAGGCCCGGGGCCAGGTATGAGCCCAGTGAGTAGGGCACCAGCCAGCCTCAGTGCATGTGGCTGGTGCCCTACTCACTGAGCTATGGGCACCAAGCTGTGCAATATTTTATTTTAAAATCTGTGCTAAATAACTCCACTATCTTGGTCACTTAAAGGTCTATTTATTGTGTTCATTTTGGGGAGTATTAGCCCTGTCTTGCACCATCCTGTGCCTGGTTATTTCTGATTGAGAGAGGACCTCATATATGAATAACTGTAGAGAAAATTGGAGGCCGTGGTGGTGTCACCTTCCTCCAGGAAGACTGACCTTAACTCCTGGCAGGCCACTAAGCCAGAGACACTAGCAACCCCAGATCACTTTAATCAGGGATTACAGCTGGACTTCACTCCTCATGATGGTTGGTCTACTTGCATTCCCCTCTCCTCCCAGACATTGGCCCCACCCGCCAACCAGGCTATGTCTCTGCCCTGTAGATGCTGTCCAGCTCCTGTCCTGGCTCTTGGTGACCACTAGGGGGCAGAAGAGCACCTAGCACTCACTAGGCGTCTGCCACGGTTCCCTGCTAGCCTGAGCCACTG